ACCGCTTTTGACCTAAAGGGACGCTTTTTGGACGCTTCTCAGTTTCAAGGCAAAAAGAACAGTAAAAATGCAGGCAGGGCACAGGACAAAAGCACTAGGGATAAAATGTATGTGAAATGCTTTGAAACAGTAATGTTTTACTATGTGATTTTAGTGTATTTGGTGAATGTCACTTAACATTTTTAAATTTCCCACCGGTTCCGTCCCCGTACGTCCCGACGCTCGCAGGGAACAGAACACGGAAGACAGCTGCCAGCATCGGCCAGAGGAGATGGCCAGGGACGCTGCAGGGGGGACATTGCAGGAGTGAAGAACAAGGTAAGTGCAAGAGGGATCCCCAGAGCAACGCTGCAGGGTATTCCCAAGTTTACCCCGAGCTACACTCGGGAATACCCCCAGGGAGGTTGAATTACTAAACAAGTCAAAATTGGTCTTGCACATAGCTTAGATGAACATTTGCTCTTTTTTTTTTTTTTTTTTTTTTTTTTTTTTTAGATTTTCTTATGTCTACATAAACATGTAGGAGAAAAAATTAGGGCTTAGAAGCAGAAGAGCTTATTTTTTGTCCATAAAGATCTATCACAAGATTTCTTTGCATTCTTCTACTTATGACCTTGTGCTTTTACATGTATTGACGTTAGTTATCAGCTTACTTGTATTGGCTATCAAATATCTAGAAGTATTTCTCTGTAAAAAGCATTTACTGAATTGCATATAGAGAAGCACAAAGTCACAATTCTCATTTAACAATGTCACCTTTACCTTGTCGTATCACATTCAACATAGGTATGTGTTGCTTGCATAAGCGAGTCCAAAAGCTTAGGATAGTAGATGTACTCTAAAGTTTCCCCACAAAAGATGCCACACAAAAATCCAAACTTACCACTCCTGTCGAGCTCTCTTTACTTCAGTCTGAAGTATGGTCTCTAAATTCTTTCCTTCTTGATTCTCTCTCTCTCTGGTCTGCACAATTGCTTCCTTTTGAGATTGCAACTCATCCATCTCGTTTGTTATAAAAGAGACCTTCTCCTGCAACTGAGAGTTTCGGACGATGGAAAACAGTGTCATAAAGCTGATCATGACCAACACATGTTAGCTAGTAAGAATTGTGTAGTCCGAGAGCTGTCTGTAAAAACATTTTGTTGATTCCTCTCCTTTGTATTTGCTAGGAAAGCAATATGAGTAACATGTCATATGCTGTATTCGAATTGTACACAGTATCATGCATTTATAAAACTGCCAGAAACTGAATACAATAAGGCAGCACTTCTGAATGGAGAATGCAGGTTGTATTATTCACAGCTTCCCTTGGAGCCTAGTCACCACGACAACAGCTTGGAAGCTTGGAAAACCCAAACACAAGAAAGCTCAAACCTCTTTGCTTTAAGAATCATTTTACATGCTACCTGATTAACTTCACAAGCTGTCACCTTTAAATAAAAAAAAAGGAAACAGCTTACCACACAGGTGAAGTTAATCTGGTAAGCCAGCCAAATAAATGTGCAAACAGCCCCCTTCTAATAGCAAGTAAAAAAAAAATTAAAGCAAAAAAAAAATATAAAAAAATTTATAAGCCACCCCCCCCCCACAAAAAAAATATAAAACACAAATGCAATTAGGGTATGTGCACATACATTATGTACATAAACATACATGATCTTTGTTTTACAAACAACCACCTCAATACTGGGCACTTTTACCCCCTTCCTGCCCAGACCAATTTTCAGCACTCTCACACTTTGAATGATAATTACTCATCATGCAACACTACCCAAATTAAATTTTTGTCTGTCTTTTTCACACAAATAGAGCTTTCTTTTCATAGTATTTAATTAGCACTGGGTTTTTATTTTTTGCGCTGTAAAATTAAAAAAGAACAATTTGGAAAAAAAAACAAAAAAAAAAACCCTGCATTTTTCTTCATTTCTGTTATAAAATTTTGCAAATAAGTAATTTTTCTTCATAAATTTGGGCCAAAATGTATACTGCTACATTGCTTTGGTAAAAATAATCTCAATTGGTGTGTATTCTTTGATCTGTGTGGAGGTTCTAGAGTCTACAAGCTATGGTACAAACAACGCCCCTCAACATCATTAGGGTGAGGAGATAATGGTTCAGTTGGAACATATGTTCGGACCAAACTTTGCCAACATCAAGGTTCAGACAAAAACTCCTGAACTTTAGCATGTTTGGCTCCCTGTTTGGCGGACGCTGTGCATGATATGTAGAAGTGGTAGGTCTAATAACAATCTCTCACCTTCCTACCATCACTGGTTCCTAAGGAAGCCACAGATGCTAGCACTCATGGCATCCCTAGGAACAAGTGACATCACAGGGAATCTCAGCTCCTTTTCAGCAAGGGAGCATGGATAGTAGTGACATCACTGCCTAAATATGGCCATCCACGAGGCATGGGTTGTGGGAAATAGGCCCTTGTCCTCATCAATATTGAGACAAGGTGCTTTGCCAGGGGTGACCCAATGTTGAAGGCATGTTGCCTTGTATGGTTCAGGAGGGTAGCCAACCAGGTTGCATACTCGAATTAGGGGTTTGGTTCTGATTTTGAGAGGGGAACTCACACATTTATTTATATTGCAATCTGTTTTATGAACTTAGGGGATCTTATAAATCAAAACGTATACAGTCACCATACAGTTTTCAGGGTGTCCATAAAAAGGCATGTCATAAAGATTAGAAAAACAACTTCACATACAACACCAACAGGGAACAGTACTGGAGTATGCCATGTCATATCAAAGAAAAAAACCATCATGTGATAACTTTGTATAAAAAACAGCTATGGTATATCCAGGGTAGGTCAGTTAGTTATTCTCAAAAGGGTAAAGTTGAAATATTTGAGTATGGTATGACATTCACATTTACTGTATGTGAAACCACATTATTGTAGATAATAAGCAGCAAACTAGCCCAAAATTAAAAAAAAAAAACCCAGGAGGTGACAGGGGGTGGGGCTGGAGGTTAAGAGTACAAGAGCAGCCTGGAGGAAATCTCCAAAACCTCCCTCATTCAGCAACAGATATTGCCATCTATGGTTGCCAAGGGAAAGCTGGAGGGTGCAGGAAAGTTGACGATTAATCAGGATCCAGTTTAAAGTGATAAAGTCTTTTTTGGCTCCCGCTGCTGCCTCAGCCAATCAGGAGTGAGACCCTGGAGAACTGAGGCTCCCATGGATATCACTGGATCGGGATGGGGCTCAGGTAAGTGTTGGGGGGGCTGCTACACAGAAGGTTTTTTACCTTTATGCAGAGAATGAGTTTTTTACAAACTTTTGTTTAACATAATTAAACCGTATTATGGATTGGATGCAACACAATATCATTACCCAGTTGGCGAAACACTAATCTCTTTTTTGGTGATGTGCACTCCTGTAACTGAGCGCAATACATTAAATATTCTGAATCAAAACCTGGTTACCTTAGAGCATTTCCACCAAATATGCATAATGGTACCCACATGGACACAGTTACAGAAACATTCAGGAGAAGCCTGTCAAATTAACTTAGCTATTCTGGTCATGAACATATACCACTGAAATAAAAAGTTTTAGAATTAGATTCCACCACACCAATGTTGAAAGAAATCCTGCACAGATAGATCTAAAAAGTTGTATTAAAAAAGGTCCCTTTCCCAATGTTCCATATAAGAGAATTTATGATCTGACTATATAATATGGAGATTTGCTCCTTCACTGGGTTTCTAGTTTTGCGTGAGCTTTCAAACAGTGTCCAAGAGAAGACACCTTTAGTTTATCCCCAAGGTAACAGGTAATCTAATAATGAAATTATTCAGATTAAGGTATTAGTTAAGTTTTCTAGTTCACGCATTTGTGTGGCGTCCCCCATAAAATATGTACCACAGCTAAACAGATAGGCATGAATAATTTTTTTGTACATGAGGTACACCTTTAAAATTAATACCAGACTCAAGTAACCTGGTATGAATTTTTTGCAGTGTACTGCCGTATTGTGTCACAGGAAACAATCCCCCCAGTTCTACTTCTTTAGCCAACTACAGGTGATTTTCTTTAACCCTTCTCATCAGAAGACACTCCTGTCGAGGTGTTAACTTCCATGGATGGCCTGGATGTCTGTGAGATGGTTGCAGTTAAATTTTTGTATCACTTTTGCTACAGTATTCTGACTGATAAGTAAAGCTTTACTAATCTTCTTGTATCCTTAACCTCTGAGTAAAGAAATTATTTTCTTTCTTGAGCATTATGACATTTCTCTTTCATGTGGTGCCATTGCATGAAAGGGGTTTTCTTTGTTAAGTAACGCCTTTTTATAATCAACTGTCTGCTGGACACCTATTTAATAAATAGTTAGACTCGCCTGTAGTTGATTTCTTGTTAATTAGGATTGTTGTCTAAAGTTTAGCTTTGCTCTCAAGACTTTCATTGGGTGTATTCATTTTTGCAACATGGTCTTGAATGAATTTGTTAGGAAAAAATACTTTTTTGTGAGTGCAAATTACAAATCTTGTTTGCAATCAATGGCCTGCATTTGTGGGAGTATTTAGTAATAGTGTCCCATAGAAAATGTTGATTCTGAAAGGAAAGTAAAGTAAAAAGGTTTTCTGACGAATCTGTTGGGGTGTACTCATTTATATGCTGAGCACTGTATATAGAGTATCTCACAGAAGTGAGTATACCCCTCACATTTTTGTAAATATTTTATTCTCTTTTCATGTGACAACAACACCGAAGAAATGACACTTTGCTACAATGTAAAGTAGTGAGTGTACAGCTTTGTATAACAGTGTAAATTTGCTGTCCCCCCAAAAGAACGCAACACACAGCCATTAATGTCTAAACTGCTGGCAACAAAAGTGAGTACACCCCTAAGTGAAAATGTCCAAATTGGGCCCAATTATCATTTGACTCGTTAGTGTTACAAGGTCTCAGGTATGAATGGGAATCAAGTGTGTGAAATTTGCTGTTATCGCTCTCATTCTCTCATACTAGTCACTGGAAGATCAACATGGCACCTCATGGCAAAGAACTGAGGATCTGAAAAAAGAATTGTTGCTCTACATAATGATGGCCTAGGCTATAAGATTGCCAAGACCCTGAAACTGAGCTGCAGCACGCTGGCCAAGACCAAACAGCAGTTTAACAGGACAGGTTCCACTAAGAATAGGCCTCGCCATGGTCAACCAAGGAAGTTGAATGCACGTGCTCAGAGTCATATCCAGAGGTTGTCTTTGGGAAGTAGACATATGAGTGCTGCCAGGATTGCTGCACAGGTTGAAGGGGTGGGTGTCTGTGCTCAGACCATATGCCGCACACTGCATCAAATTGGTCTGCATGGCTATCATCCCAGAAGGAAGCCTCTTCTAAAGAAGATGCACAAGAAAGCCCGCAAACAGTTTGCTGCAGGCAAACAGACTAAGGACATGGATTACTGGAACCATGTCATGTGGTCTGATGAAACCAAGATAAACTTTTTTGGTTCAGATGGTGTCAAGAATGTGTTGCGGCAACCAGGTGAGGAATACAAAGACAAGTGTGTCTTGCATACAGTCGAGCAGGGTGGTGGGAGTGTCATGGTCTGGGGCTGCATGAGTGCTGCCGGCACTGGGGCGCTACAGTTCATTGAGGGAACCATAAATGCCAACATGTACTGTGACATACTGATCCCCTCCCTTCGGAGACTGGGCCGCAGAGTAGTATTCCAACAGAACGATCCCAAACACATGCCCAAGTTGACCACTGCCTTGCTAAAGAAGTGGAGGGTAAAGTTGATGGACTGGCCAAGCATGTCTCCAGATCTAAACCCTTTTGAGCATCTGTGGGGCATCCTCAAACAGAAGGTGGAGGAGCACAAGGTCTCTAACATCCACCAGTGGAGTGGAAGAGGACTCCAGTGGCAACTTGTGAAGCTCTGGTGAACTCCATGCCAAAGAGGATAAAGGCAGTGCTGGAAAAATAATGGTGGCCACACAAAATATTGACACTTTGGGCCCAATTTGGAATTTTTCACTTAGGGGTGTACTCACTTTTGTTGCCAGCAGTTTAGACATTAATGGCTGTGTGTTGAGTTATTTTGAGGGGACAGCAAATTTATACGGTTATATAAGCTGTACGCTCACTACTTTACATTGTAGCAAAGTAATTTCTTCAGTGTTGTCACATGAAAAGATATAATAAAATACTTACAAAAATGTGAGGGGTATACTCACTTCTGTGAGATACTGTATACATACATATATACCAGAATCTAAAATCCCACCAACCCCATGTTTACTTGTTCTTCAATAGCATCAGCATTACAGACCTGAAGCACTAGCCCATTCTTCTCTTCCAGCTGTCCCATCAAGACTTCCTTCTCTTTGTTAAGCTCATCATGCACCTTTTCAGAGTCTCTAGTAAATTGTTCTTCAATACCTTGCATAGCAGACTTTTTCTGTGTGATAAACTCTTCCTAAAAAGAAAGATCAGTGTTGAAAATTCCAAAAAAAAAACATATGGAATGACACTCCCTAGCTATTAAAAGTCCCTCCACAATCATGCATCCACAACAGCATTTCTGAAGCACATTATTGGATGTGTTTGCGAGCAATGTACACACATTTAATGTGTTCATTACATGGATTTCTAGGTCTATGTTCACTTTCCAGCATTCCAGGATTGGATCGCATATATTTCCATAGCATCCAGAAATCCCACTCCCCTCCATAGCGCTCATCTCCTCGCCCTCTTTCCTACTCTTCCTGCCTCCCTTAAATTGTCAGGCCATAGTGTGTAATGAAGCAGACTGAGCAGATGGCAATATCCACACTATAAATCAGCCCTTAATGTTTTGGGGTTTTTTTTTTTTGTTTTTTTTAAACAAAGTCAATCCACATGAAGTGCACTACCTAACGTTGGCTATACACAAGTCATTTTCTTTCAACCTGCTGGTTAAACAAAGGAAAATGACTTTATTCCCCCATGCATGCACTCCATGTAAATGGGGCTACCCCTCCCGCTGAGCCTTTGTAGTTTGACAGCTGGGAGATATCCCTGCTGTCAGAACATACTGATCAGCAACGCTGGTGGCACTGATCGAAAGAAAAATTTCCAACAGGCTGGTTGTACACAAATCAATCAATAGATCAACTTGCACACAACCAGCCTGGCAGCACATGGATCAAAACTTGTCCGGTCCCTGCTGAACTTTGATCGATGTACAGACAACTTAAGCTTTCACCATGATTCATAAGAAAAAAGCATTTCCAGGTCCTCACGTACTGTATTCCTGATAATGACATGCTCAGTGAAAGATATCTACACTATACCTTTAGTTGAGTTATCTGTTGTTCCAGTAACATCTCAGACTGACATTTCAACAACTCAATTTCTTCTTGTAATTGCAAAAGCTGATTGGATTTATTTTGTAGCTCTGTAGATAAAGCCTGGAGCTGGTTGTTAAGTTCTGTAACAATAAGCTGAAAAGAAAATGTTCCTTAAAATTGAAGTCAGTAGTATATAGGCAATAATAACCAACCATACAAAAGGAGTAATTAATTTACAAGTTCATTTTGAGAGATGAGAGCTAGATTTTATATACGGTATAAAATATGCATACACACTTTTTATTACTACTACTGAGGGTGATCTTTCTTACAACTGTATATAAGGGATAGTTATGGCCAGCTCAATGCACACATATAAGCTATAAGAAATGAAGACTATTTAAAAAACACAAACTTAATTGATAAAATGGTTTCAATAAATTGATAAAATGGTATCTTGTCCACTCCTGAAATTTAGGCAGAGAGAGCTGAAATGTAAGTTCATGTCCATGAGAGTATTAAACGTGTTTCTTTAAAGATCTTCTGTGGCACCCAAAAAATTACTGTAGCTGATGACTTAATATAAGGACACTTACCTGTCCAGGGTTCCAGCACTGTCCTCACCCGGCCAGTTACTTCACCAGTCTTCAGGTCCCCGGCATTTGTACTACGTGAAGTAAGCTGTTAATCATAGTGACTTCACAGCTGGCTTCCTGCTGCACTTTGTGAATGGTCGTGCAACTTTCTGGAACCTGTCACAAGGAAAGGGGTGGGGTGGGGGGAGAGGGGGGGGGGGGTATTGAACTTCCGTTTAGATCGCCTAGGTGACAGGGGGAGCAGGTACCTGTCGGACTAGGTACCCCCCCCCCCCTTTGTAAAAAAAATTGTGGTATTGGGGGGGGGGGGGGGGGTTAGGAGGCAGAAATGTGGAACTTCCCCTTTCGGGTGAAGTTTCGCTTTAAGGGTTTCTAGACTTTGGTGCCCCCTTGACAGTTTATGTAGGCCACTGTGTCATGGTTTTATTGTACTGTGGGTGACCTTGTAGAAAAGAGGTCCAATGTTTTGAGGGCAGTCTGATGCCTCTGTTCCAAAATGTTGATGGGTAGTTGTTGTGACTCCTGTGAGGATCATGGACCCTGAAGTGTCAGGGATTTGTTAAATTCCGCACTAGCCTGTACACACTAGCCTCACATTTGTAGTTTCCACCTTCCAAGCATATCAAGGAAAGGTTTTTCCAATTCCAGGGCAGCAACAGTCTTGCAAATACACATGACAGCAATTGCTGGCTGCAGGGTTGGTCCTGCAAGAGCAAAAAAAAAAAACAAACAAACACATCCTCAATAGGAACTATGATATGTTTGAGAATTGAAATGGTAGAATCCACTCCCAGAAAAAAGAGCATTTCTTTTTAAAATCCCTTTCCAGAAGATAAATATCAGCAAAATGCCTAGGAGTGAAAAACTTTTCAGGGCACAGGCAGTACTCAAAAAGCACAATCTTTACAGGTATATCAAAATCCTTGCTTTTTCCATAGATGCAGATTCCATATCTTGAAGTACAGTATATGATGCATGATTTGAGTCTTGGACCATACCGTGGGTTATATGCCACTACCTTCAGGTGATTGGACACTGGCAAAATGTTTGCTGGGACTGCCCCAGAGTATTCATACAACTACACCCACTCAGAGGGGATGTTTTATAAAACACAATAAGTAACACAGATAAAATGAGGGGAGGGACATGTGTCCTTTGCTGTAATAAAAGATAATAAAATTACAGATATGTCAAAATTCCTTTTGTTTTAAATCAAGTACAGAAAACAGGAACGGATTCTTTGACCATGGGATGTCCCAAGAAATACATTTGAGAGGTGAACAACAAAAAAGCCAGAAGGGCAGCAACCAGACCACAGGAAAAAACAAGGGTTAACGTATCCAGACACTTGACAGCAGAAGCAAGCATCAGCATGAACAAATGGGAGAGGCCGGAACATGGCGCTGGCAGGACTCCACGTTCAAGGCGCTGCCAATGCTCCCGATGCCTGTCCTACCTTAGGATCTGTGGTCCTTCGGGGCCCCCCGCTTGACTGTTCCCTTCTCAGGGCAGAGTGTGCCATGTGCTCAGGTGCGCTCATCTCCCCTGGTCGTGAGAGGGCAGGCGGTGGAGTACGAAGCAGCCGGAGCAAGGAACAGTGAACGCTGCGAGCGTTCTCAAGAAGGCCCAATGGAATCCTGGGAGCTAAGGAGAGAAACAGGGAAAGAAGCAGTTCGTAAGCATTTGAACCCCCAAATCCCCCCAGATCTCTGGAGAACCTGACAGAGTGGATGGGGGGGAATCCCTTGTGTGGGGGAGGCGGAGCTCCCCTGAGAGACACTGAAGGATCCTGGAAGGAAGGCACGCAAAGACCAGCAATAAAGCCACAAGATACGGGCGCCATGAGACCCACGGTGGGTGACCCCCTTTACAATAAAGACTTCCATCTGAATTGAGGTGATCACCTAAGCAGCAAGGCCCCAGAGCGGGGAGGAAAATAGATGATGATGCCTGGAATCAGAGGGAAGGGTGAGTAACTGTTTGTAGTGAAATGAAATGTCTACATCTTCGTAAACTATTTAATGTACTGAAAGGGGTGGACATTAATAATAAAAGAAAGAGTGAGGTCACCCAGTGGAAGCAAGGGAGATATAATGTTAAAGCACAATACTGACAATATCTATTTTATTGTAATATCCGATACACCCGGCACAGGGGAGAGGAGAGCATCTGCACTGAGGATTAAGCACAATTATTGACAAGTCTGAAGAAATTGTTGCGAGGTGGAATTGGAAGGGGATATTATTAACAGCATCAAGGGCAGATCTGCAAAAAAAAAAAAAAAAAAAAAAAAAGAAGGGTAGGAACAAAGACCCCTCAATCAAGTTAAATAAAAAAATACCTGTCCCCCACAAGAGAAAAAGTCCAGAAGGACATACCCCTGAGAGACAAAAAGGAAACGAGACGTAGCCATGAAATGAGAAAAGGCTGGAGACCAATCCACAATGTTATTAGGAGCAACGAGTCTGAACCAGATTGAAGAATTGATAAACGTTGATAATGAATTAGATTCCAGTAATACTGATGAACAAGGATTAAAGTCGCAACAAAAATGGCCACAGCTGTTCGTGAAACATGAGCACTCCATAAAAAACGAAATGGCTGTACTGCGCAATGACATGGGACAAGTGCTATCACAAGTGGAAGCAACAGCAGGAGAAATTGAAAAACAAGCGCAAGTAATCATTAAGTT